TGCAAAATATATCATTCTTAGAGTATTCTCCGTCATAAGGGGCGTGACAATCCTGATAGCATAACAAGCGGAACTTAACTTTTTTAAAACATGTTCAATGTGCCCCTTCCATGACAACTTTTCATCAATAATCAATCCTAGAAACTTGATATTAGTAAGATCAGTGATATGCTTATCTGCAAAAGTAATGTTTAAATCAAGCTTCTGACTGTTTTAGTCCGAAATTGTAAAAGATGTGTTTTGTCAAAATTTAAATAAATCAGATTACTCCTAAACCACTTATTTAAGTCATCAAGAGTGGTATTTATCTCCGTCAAAAAGTGTACAGGATTAGAACCAGTTACAATCATACTGGTGTCATCAGCATACAGCACTAATGTATTATTTTTAGAAACCGTCAAAGGCAGATCGTTAATAAATAAAAGAAAAAATAGAGGGCCCAAGATAGATCCCTGCGGCACCCCGTGTTTGACTATCTCCCATTCAGAGTAACTATTTCTAGAATTATTTTGAATTATCACCCTCTGGTATCTCTCTGTAAGGTAAGATTTGATCAAGGCATTGAATTTCCCTACAATGCCATAGTATTCAAGTTTATTCAACAGGATACTGTTCAGAGTATAATTTTAACATTACACTGGGGCAGTTACAGGTAAATGTGATGTAGCAACATGGTACAGATACTCATGTGTACTGACTCCACCATATGAAAACATCCCTCGATAAAATTTTGACAGATGCATATTTTTCATGGAAAATGTTAATTGAATGTATTACTTCACAAAAATGCTACTGAAGTCAAATGCAAAATGGCAACACAGCATGAGGAACTTCAATCATATGTCTGTGAAAATTATTCATTTAACTAAAATTCTATTATGGGTACAAACCTGGAATTTAATTTTCTCTCCAAATCTTGTCTAGAAGTAGGGGTATATATATTATGAAAGTAAAAATGGTATGCTATAAAAAAATTCACATACTGTTTGCTTTCATTTAGTAATTATGTTAGGATGTCATGCAGCGTATATGTATTAAGAGCAATTCCACCACCCACATGGTGAACAGCAAATCTACCCACTACAAACATTAAATGCACTGTACTACTGGTCACAAAAACATGTCCTAATTATGTTTCCTTCTCATCACTATTAGTTGACATCTGATTTTTCAGATGCCAAATTGTCCTACATTCAGATAAATACAGAATACTAATTACTCCTCCAATCTTGAGGTTCTGCCAAGGGCATAATCCCCTCCTCCCAAGTATATACTACTACAAGTCTTGGAAAACAATTTTACAAAGCCTGTCTCTAACATTTCATAATAAATACTTATGAAGGTACCTGCTCATGAAGACGAAGGTTTGATGTGGTGTGGAAAGACTTCCTGCAGACTGGACATTGATAAGGTCGCTCGCCTGTGTGAACTCTCTGATGAGAATGAAGTGCATCCTGACGCACAAACTGCCTCCCACATTCATCACATCTGAACCGTGGACTTTGGTGCCGGTGCATATGCTCATTGAGTTTGGCACGTGAAGCAAACTTTTTGTGACAGATATCACAGGTGTGATCGTATCTTCCTTTAGGAAAACAGAAGCTTTGTTTATTACCATCATTCAACACCAGAAGCATTCTTTCCTAACAGCATTACTGTTACCCTAAGGCAGGGGTCTGCAACCTTTCCATGTTTCTGGAATCTTGTAATATGCTGCTGTGATTTAGGTTTACTGAATTTTTTAACTTTTCCATCATCTAGCAATATGGACAGGGTACAATATTTTGCAAGCTGGATGTGTTTCCAGCTTCAGGAGCAGCCTGTTTCCAAAACATGTTGTAATCACAATATTAATTGTACACGGTGGACAGAGTCCAGAAAAGCCAGTAATCCTAACTGTAAAATGCCTCCATCAAAACAGCATCAAAATGATGCTATTATGACGTTGAGCAGAATACAAATCCTCTCTTTAATTTTTACCTTGTGACAAAACATGAATTCAATATTATTTAAAATTCCTGAAATCCCGTGTCATTTAATACAGACTATACATGAATTTCTGTCAGATTTCTTTCCCTGGATGTGATTTAGAAAGTTAGGAAAAGTATGCAAAACCGTAAGCAGGCTGAATGACTCATTTCAGATGTAGAGATTATAAAGCACTGACCAAGATTATGGGTAGGTAGGGATATGAAAGGATATGACTGTGGCCATTCTGGAGATTCTATTCAGGTATTCAGGTAAGAAGACTCGAGGAAAACCATGACAAACACTGATCAGCCGTAAGCGACCCAAGGGAGACTCAATCTGCATGCCTTTCAAACATAAGTTTAAACCTTTATTGCTATATTAACTTCTACTTTAATGCATTTTATGTCATAGCCTGATTACGTGAACATTACAACACATCACAGTCCATGCGATTACATGAAAATTACAACACATCACAATCCATGCATGATTTCAAATCATGCAATAAAGTTCATGGAAGAATGAGACTTAAATTTAGACCACAGACCATTACACGAACAAAGGACTGGGCAGCAGTAGTTACATCTAAGAGTCCAGTTTAGGAAATGCCTACATCAAATCTCAAAAAATGTAGGCTACCCTCACTGGGAAGTTCTTTAGTCTCAACATGCAAATACTGGGGCAAATACCATCTTTAGAGAGGCCAACCCCTCAGAATAATGATAGCACTAATGACATCAAAATGGAGATGGCCTCAGATATTGACGAATGGCACTATTCAGTGAATGATTTCTCAAGAGCGGATACTACACATACACAACTACAATGCAGTTATGCTTCATGTGAATCAGAAATGGTACCAATTTCTGTGCAAAGTTTGAAATAATGTGAATCGCAAATCCTGAAAATCCTCCTTACTTTACATTTATTCATATGAGAAAACTTGTCTTGAATTATGCAAGGTCTTCAGGAATGCACCCTTGCATAAGATGTGACTACGCTGTACAGCACTAACAGAAGAAGCTGGTGAAAAAGATGCCTGACATCAGGTTTACTAATGGAAATGTCAACATCAATGGATTATTATTTGTCTAAGGGCAAGAGGTCGTTTAATTCAATTCACCTGTGTGCCTGGCAAGGTGGATATTCCGGGTGACTTTCTGAGAAAACTTCTTTCCACACACATCACATGGAAATGGCTTATCTTTACTGTGGGTCATCAAGTGAACTTCCAGGGAGCTGCGACGTACAAACAGCTTGCCACAATCTGCTGTAGGTGTGAAGAATAACATTATTACCTCATTCTATAGTGAGAAGTGAAATAAACTCTTTTACACTTGTTCTTCCTTTATGGCTGTTCTTCCTGAGCAATGATAACAAATTCAGTTATATAATGCCTTTGGTGGACCAATATGGGCCATTAAGTAATGACTTTAGCTTGGCTGTGTATGGTTATAGTTTATTACATAAGCAATTTAATACTGGCCACTGGATTTCTCACTCTTGTCACTGTTGCATCTGAAATATATTCACACATATCAGGCCCCTCCTAAGACAAGACTGCAATGTTGAACTTTTATCTTGCTTTTAGTGAGTAAAGAAAATGTCCAAAAATAAATCACATACCGATATGAGAGTTTAATACAACTTCCTCTGAGTTTAATTAATTAAAAACTATACCAAGATGTATGGCACTAGATGGAGGCGAATGACTATTAAACAATGTGACCACTTTATTACATCCAGGGAATGGGCCCAGGTACACACTGAACAGAAGACTAGGTTGGCCCAGAGCCAGTGCAGACATGGTGATAAAGAGAAAAATCCTGCTTCTACTGGAAATCAAATGCCAGTCATCCAGCCTGTAGCCTGAGCTAAATAAAATTAAAAACAGAGTGATGAAAATTGGCTTTGAAGATGGGTAAATTAGATGGTACTTCATTGAACAGAGATATTGGGTTTTTGGACCCAATATCTCTGTGTGTTATACACCATCGTCAGAATCCTATAGTAACTACATTAATGAAGTTTTTTATTATTTGGGTGCTAAAATTTTAGAAAGACAAATCTAAGGGGAAGAGAAAATCCACCGAGATGGATAATTTTACCAGATATAATTTGCAAATAGTAACTGCTAGGAAGATTAAAGTTATGTTTTACACACGTATTACCTGCTCTGACACAAGTAACAAATGTACTGAAGGCACAGAATTAAGACAGATGTAAGCAGATTAAAAGCAGTACCTTCTAGAGTCTCCACAAAAAGGACAAAAAGATAAAATCTGAAACGAGGGCATTAGAAGAGATCTGAAGGTTCATCCAACTAAACACAGAGTTGTAACAACAAGCCATGGAAAAGAGAGTCAAATTTTTCGCCTTTCAACACATAACTAACTCCATGGAGATGAGCCCTTCTTGAGAAGAAGCCAGTTGTGCAGCTACTCAAGAATTTCCCAACATTTTGTGAAACCTGGAGGTTCATTATCATATTCAGAAGAGCACTCCAAAGGTCCTTATCCTGAGCCGTATCAATTCAGTCCATACCACTCTATCCTATCTCTCTTAAGATAAATTTTAATATTATTCACCCACCTTTCACTATATACCAAGCATTTGTAGCACACTGTAACAACTCACCATATGAAATATGCTATAAGCTAACACTGCCGTGATATTCTAAATATGTGGGCACTACAGCGCTAACCGGGATCAAAATTCCTCATAGATTGTTGCTGTAACTGCCCACAGCAGAATGAATCATTAGCACTGATACATAAGCGCACACGCACTACTGTAGAGCAGAGAGATCATTTCTCTGCGACTACTGTGCCCTTCCCCACTAGCTTGAGTGCAGTCCTGTTGCAGATTCCCTCACATCAGTTTCTGTACATGCACACATTTACAGGAATACTGTAAAAAGATAACACAAACTTACCGTGCTTTATAATAGGTGCCAGAAGTGACTCCCTTCTGTTTGCAAACACGCCTTCCATCGCATAAATAAATTATGCAACACTTTCTGAAGATGGTCCATGGTAATTGAACTAATTATGCGTGTTTTTTCATTCTGCAGAGCTTCAGTGGTGCGAGGTTTATTCTTGTAGACTTTTTGACAATAAACATATGCTGTTCACTAGCGAACTTCATTTCAGTATAAACATCGACTGCCTATCGACATCTCTAACACAGACTGACTATTAATGTGACTTTAACTGCAGTGACAAGATCATGCCACATGACAGCATGCGTTTATCAGCGCTAATGACTCATTCTGCTATCAGCAGTTACAGCAGCAAACTGTGCAGAATGTTGGGCCCGGTCAGCGGTGTAGCCAAGTTTCCTCCTTGATTAAATGCAGTGTCTTGTGCACATCAGATGGCTGTGTTGGGTTAAGAACATACCTTCACATTTGTTTTCTGCATAATTTCAATGAAACCTTGATGCGAGAGTTACAACAATGGATTAGAACACTTAGCAACAAATGGAACTACAGCTATACAGGTTAAAAGAAATGCTAGCTTGCTCATGCTTTGTACATTCTAAGTCCTAGGCTTAATATCACTAGTCCTTAAACTACGCTCCTGCAGAACACTGGTGGTCTGCTACCTAGATTAAGGTGTTCCAAAACTAAGATCATGTAATAGCAGTCTTTCCCACTTCACAGTAAAAATAAATTTCAGGAGTACATTTCTAGATTTTATATTTTTTTTGCATTTTCTTTATAGTGGCCAGGATTCAGATAATTCCATCCATGGCAACTGTTGTGTCCTCACTGCCAACACAGAGATATTTCTGTAAGTAGCTCTTAAATATATTTCATTGTAGTTCAACAGCTTCCATAACAGGAAGCCTAACAATAACCTCACTTCCCAACAGACAAACTGATAAAGTTAACATGACACTGTTCAGTAATTTCATACAGTAAATACATATCTATGATATTATATAGCCACAAAACAGCTGATCATGTTTAGTTTGACAGCAGTTTTTTTTTTGCACACATATTTATTTATTTATTTATTTATTTATTCACTTCACATCCATGGATCATTATACATGACATAGGACATGTCTGTGTCTGTGTTTTACACAGTGAAATTAGAGTGTATCATTTAACAATTCTTTGCAACTTAAACTTAAAATATGATACTGGTACTTCAATTATTGATTTCATGTTAAATTGGATACTGACTTTCAGTGGGTCAACGGCTAAAAATCAGTCTGCCAAAAAAAAAGGTTCACTTTCATAGGCAAGGCTATTCCATCAACCATGAACAAACTGCAACACAATTTACATGGCGATATTTACATCATAACTATGGGAACAGAACATGAAGCAGAAAGTCCCTACCCACGAATGTTAATACTAGCAATCCTTTGTGCACAAGTGTTGGAAATGAATTACCACTATGAAATCAATTGGAAGATATACCTGAAAACTATCCTGGTGCTATTTGCATGGTATATTAGAAAATCTTACAAAACAGCTTGCTTATGCCAGCCAAAATAAAGAGTCATATTCAGAGTCAGCATACAGATTTTAATATCTAGGATGTGACATTCTTTGCTTCTAAGATTGACAAGCTGAAAACAAGCCATGATTCAAGCAATGCAGATCTCCAACGAACAATAAGTTACTGAAAACATCATATGTAGTAACCAAACAAAAGCAATGTCAGTTGAAACTCAAACCATTGCAGAAAATTTTATCGAGCCCTGCATTCTGAATGTTGTGAGCGTTGTAACCGTACACATCCTTCACGAGGTGTCTTATTTGTTTGTGCATAGCGACTGGGTTTGGCTGTGGAAATGAGATGCCACGGAGGGATCATGGTCCTCTGAACTGGCCTTTTGTTGCAAGGGACAGAAGGGAGGTTGGTGAGTCCATTGCATTCATGGGGGGAGTAGGTATACCTTCTTTCGTCCGTGCGCTTGGTCTTGTAGTCCGCCGGGTGGAAGGTTCGAGATTGCGGTAAGAACATGGTTTCAAAAAGCAGCAGCGGGGGTAATGAGGGAGTGAGGGAGTAGAAGTCAGGCAGTGAGAAGGTTCATGTGGAACCTGTGCTGGGGGATTAACCGATCGAGCCTGCATCCGAAACGACATAAGTGAGCCAACACCCATGTACCCCTGGGATACAAGACTCATAACGCTGAATTTAGCAGAGGCACTACACCGTGAGGAAGTAAAGCGTGTGGGGTAGGGTGTAGCGTAATGCTGAATTAAGCACCCTCAAAGAGAAAATTGGGTGAGATCCTCTATCCAACAGCATGGTAGGTAGATGAAAAGGTTACAGTGGCTGAGGCATAGCATTAGAGTACATCTAGCAACGGTGGTTAAGAAGATTCTTGAACAACAGAAGAAATAGGGGAAGGCCAGAGGATGTAGAGAATGATTCAATACAGGTGTAGGATAAGAGATGAATGCTGAAGGCAAATAATAGAGGAGAAAGGGCATCTATAGTAAAGGAGGTAAAAGTTCTCAGAGGATAAAGAGCCAACTAGTAGGTATATATTAAGTTTACTTCTGTAAAAACTTCATTTCACTTAACCTTTACTGAATGTTGAGACGGACTTTTCTTAAAACAATCACTGTAACAGCAACCTAATTTGTTCATTCAAATGACAATATAATATACGCATGCAATGAGACAGAGTCACCTGTCAAGTAATGCACTCACGGCAAGCCAATGCAGACTCAGTATTCAGATTGTGCTGTCGCAGGAGATGCGACTCAACACTAGTCTTAGATGCAAATGTCTTGTTGCAGAAGTCACAAGGAAAGGGTCTCTCCCCTGAAACACACAGCATGACATCACCCTACAAAGCAGCAAGTTATGCCAACATAAGAAACCACCAAAGACACAATTCGTTGATTTGACAGACCACTCAGTTGACACAAAAATATTTACATTATTATTTGGAAAGGAGAGAGGACAGGAAAGTTTAACCTATGTACATCACAACCAATTTAAATGTATTTTAATTTTTAAGTAACGAATATGTAGATGAATTATTATGAAGTTACAAAGTTATATTATTATATAAGTTATAATTATTATACTTACTCTAATGATCATGTGCCACCTGACATTACTAACTAAATTTTCATTCCTGCCTGAAAACTAGAAAAAGGGAAATTTAACATACAGCTACAGTGTTCTCTTCCCTAAAATCACCTTTTGGCTATTTATGCAACTTTTACACATTTTGTCTCACACAGTTGGTTCTGGGCAAAAAAAAAAAGAAAAAGAGTAAAGTATTTTCTGCATGATTCTGACCAAATTATGGGGCTCTACAGGTAAGGAACTTAGGTAGATACACATAAGTATGGGGACAGAGAAGACTGCGAGGTTATTACAGTGATAAAATGAAAAAGTAACATAATAACATATAAAGTATTTACATATTTTGTACATATTACTGAACTGTATACTTATGCTATCTCCATGAAGATAGTTTTACCCAAATAATTCATATCACTTTCAAAACTATAAGAAATATCAGCCATGTATTCTGTCAGTGTTGGATTTAAGGCTCTCACAGCAGTGATTATGAAGAATTTTATCTTGGCTTATTCTTTAACCCTGAAGACAGAGGTGCTGAAATGTTGGTTAACTCTCACCACATTACATGACTTCACATCCAAGAAGGTAGAACTCTTCACGTATTCTATCAAGTTATGTATCTTTTCAAGCAGCAACATAAGGTGGCAATATACTGTGATGTATTTGCACTATGCAGGACACCCCCTCCCCCGCCAGCGGTGACATAACATCGGAGTGCTATCGCTGCTACGGTAACAGGCCACTCAACACTCTGCCCCCCTTCCCCGCGGTGATGTAACAGGGGGGGCACCGCTGCAACACGAGGCAACAGCGAACAGTATAAAATGCCAGCTGAGCAGTATGTGAAGACAGTGTGTGATCAGTAGTGACACACTGTGGATCGTGAAGTCCAGCCGCTATGAGTTGAGTTGCATCGAGTGAATGGAAAGGACTACATCAGAAGACGTAATTGTGATACTGCAGATGGCAGTACTTGTGTAATTGTGAGAGCAAGTGTTCAATAAATTCGATACATTCAATACGGTGTAAAGTTATTTGTCATTTGACATACACCCAACATGTGATAATACTATAATAACTTGTATGTGAGCCAATCACAGTAGCTGCGTGGTCTAAGGCACGAACTGTCTTCGCTCACTTGAACCACACTTAAGGCGTGAGTTTATTCTGTTTGTGTTGTCCTGTGTCTAGGTAGCAGCCTTGCAACCAGCTGNTGCTTTCTTCATAGTCACCGCCGTGAAAGCCTCAAATCTTACAGCTGATCACTTGTCCAAGGAGTCCTATTGTCTGTGCAAAAAAAGATTACAAAACTGAAAAAGAGGCGAGGGCCCAACAAAGGGCTGTAGCGCCATTGATGAATGAATGACTGGAATGAATGAATGAACTTGTATCTGAACCACTAATTAACAGTTAATTACAATTTTTACTCTATATATTGTCACGTGTTGGATATGTCACACAACAAATAACTTCACGCCGTCTTGGATCAAGCAAATTTATTCCACTCGCCCTTACAATTCACAATGACACCACTACGCAGTATCACAATTACGTCTTCTGCTTCCATTCACTCCGGCAAATGCTAGACTGCAACTTACTGGCTACTCTCTCTCTCTAGTTAACTGGCTCAATACCCACTACTCACTACTCTAGTAGTTTCCGCATTGACAACACAGAAAACAGTTATGGGATAGCTACCACTGTTGCGTAACATTATGTTTACAGGCAATATATAGGAAATATGACATCTGAACAACCTTTCACCTAAATACTTTCATCAACATACTCAGAAATTTCAAGAGTACTCTTTGGACAGTGGGATTACACCCCAGAAGCTCATTACTCTGATTAATATTATTTATGTCGCATGTAGAGCCTTGGTACTGGGTAAATAATAATGATACTCTCATGTGTATCAGCGACTAAAGATGGGGTTCAGATTGGTAACTGGATTTACTGACCACTTACAGGTCATAACTGCAACTAATTATAACACTTCCAAGATGACTGTACTTATAATACATAACTAAAGTCTTCAAATCACATGTTAAGTCTTCACAGACCAACTTCTAATTCTTCTTCTTCTTCTACGAACTCCCCATGGCTATCTCCTACTGAGAACTGACTGACTCGTAGCATTGACTGTCTTCAAGATAACGCCTCTGCACAGACCACGTGGAAAACACCCTCTTCTTTTGTTAAGGACACATGTTTACAGCTTCATTGCCTGGCAACAGATGTCCTACTGTTCCATGCGTTTGCTTGGCACGGACCACATATCACAGTTTCCCCTATATTGTTGTCACGGTCTTAAGGGTGGGGTGTTTACCGGCTGTCACAGAGAAAAGGCAGTTCTTCTATTGTTGCCTGTATCCCTTGCAGTGAGAATGTTTACAAACATTCCTCTATTGTTATAGAAATGATCCCTATGCCACAACATTGATAAAGATTATCAGTGATGATGAAAATGCATGCATCCACCCACGTGCACACGCACACACTAATGGGATAACCTGGATTCAAATCTATGGTTTATGCAGGTGAGATCAAAATAAACACGCCTTAATGACACATCCACCGTATCAGTTCTCTTTATATGTTACACTACTGAAAATGATCATTATATGCTTTTGTTTTCTTTAATTAAATCATACTGAAATAATTGTATCCCTCATTTGTCATGGCATTCCTATAAATAAAATATCCCCAGAGACCAATTTTGTATAGAGTGCCAGATGAAAGGTATCCACAATAAAATAATCATATCTCAGAAAGCATTTACTACACACATTTATGGGTTACACCATTACAAAAGGAAGCTATCAAAGTTTTTTTTTTCTGAGTACATCATTTTCTCCATACATTTCAATGTGGGCTGCCTTTGTGGCATGACACACATCCAGACGATATGCAACTTCATTCCACATTGCTTGAAGCATGTTTGGTGTTTTGGTGTTACTGTAGCCACAACATCCCTTATGTGGGCTTTCAAGCGTTGAAGGTTGTTGATCTTAACCTGGCAGACAATGTTCTTCACTTAACCACACAAGAAAATATCCAATGGAGTTAAATCTGGCAACCTAGGAGGTCAAGTGTTTGGTCCACCTCTGCCAATCATCTCTCTGTCTAGGTGATTCCTACCATGGTGGCAGAATTGTTGTAGGATGGTTTGAGATGGTAACTGGAGCAGCTCATAAAGCTCCAGCATGTTAAGTATGAACATCTGGTCACAGTCTTTTCCAAAAATAGAAACGGTTCAGTCAACTTGTCATGCATTAAGCCTGCCCACATGTTCACTTTGGGGCTGCCTCTCTCCAACTCACATGTGACATGTGGATTTTGACTGGCCCAAATCCTGCAGTTGTACCTGCTTACAACTCCACTGATGTGGAACACTGTCTCATCCAAGAAGCACACTTGGTGATAGAAATCGGGTGACATGTCAATTCTTTCTAGCATGTCTACAGTGAAGTTTGTGCGTGCTACTTGGTCACTCGGTTTTAGTGCACGAATCATTTGAATCTTGTACACTCTTAGGCAGAGCCTTTTGTATAGCGCATTGTGCACTGCTGAACATGGAATTTGTAACTGCTAGCTAGCAGCTCAAATTGATTTGTGCAGATTTCGCTGGAATGCCTCTCTAATGCGACTGATATTTTCTTCAGAGGTCTGTGTCTTTCCAGGAAATTTTACATGCAACAGACTACCTACAGTCCTCAGTTTGTTGTCCCAGAACCGCACTTTTCCATGCAGGAGGTCTGACATAAATATTGCATTCTAAAATGACACTGGACAGTAGTAAGAGATTGCAAATCTGTTAGACACAACATGCATTGAACATGTTCCTGTGGTGTGGACATTGTTGCTGAGCTTGCCGAAGGTCACCAGCTGGCACATGCGTATAAGCCGGGCATGAAAAAATAAAATTCAGAGTTTTTCTTTCCGATGACATCAACCAGATGTGTGTGTATGACAATTAGTTTCCGAGATATAAATCCTTTATTTTGGATACTTTTCATCCGCACACCCCGTGTTACTGTATTTACCACCATGGTGATGGACCATATCAAGCAATGAAATAGTGGCAGACATAAAAGACTGTAAAGACTGGTTATAATCACCTAGCAACACGCACAGAAATTAAGTGAAATGGAGGGGAAACAGATATCACTCTAATGAGAGGATTCTGTATATACAAGATACTTGTAATTTATGACATCAGAAAAATAAAATATCATCATACCGGTATGTGTCCTGTAGTGTCGAACAATTGCAGACCTAGTGCTGAATGTTTTGTCACAGGCAGGACAGCTATACATTCCATTACACAGTCGCTCAAATTTTATGGACTGCAAAAATACAATTTGTTAATAAAAACCACTTTACCAGAAAACTATCATTCATACAGAATGTCTGAGAATGAGAGAACACAATTCAAACATTTTTTATTGAGAAAATAAATAGAGCCAGAAGGGTAGACGTTTTCGCTACATTACAGCTGTCAAAGATTTACACATGATATTGGTTCTATCAAGTGCACATGTGCCAGTTTCAGGGAATTTGAATACTGGATGGACAATGTGCACTCAGGTTGATGTGCAGTGAAATGAAGAAAGGCAGGGAAAAACTTTCTGAGTAGATGTTTCATGTGGTGAAATCTGTATTCTCCTAGCCCTGTTTATTTTCTCAACAAAAATGTTTAAAATGTGTGTATTCTTTCTTGGACACCTGTAACTAGTTACACTCAATTTCTCTACATCTACATTAACTCTTCAATGAGAAACTTCAGTTATGAATTGAGTACCTAGTGTTCTTTCAAAATTATCTCTACAGACCTTCATTCTGAGAACTGTCCTTCCTGTCTCAACTATCAGTTACCCACATTACACAGTTCACAAAAAAAATTAACTTCACAAATGAAACAGATTAGCTACAGAGGAGAGTATCATAATTTTCTATCTTTGAAATGGAAATAAAACTGTCCAGGTAATGTCTCAAAATATGTGAACCAAAAAATATAACAGCAGCAGCAGCAGCAAACTGAAACATGAGATTACCAATGGCACTGTAACCTAAATGACACACAAAAAGATCCAGTAACTATGCAGCGAAAATATCTGACTACACTACACATTTTTCATCTTACTAATACGGGAATTCTCAGATGGTAATTAGACCAACAGCAGCCTATGCCTGTGAAACCTGGACACTTAAAGAAGCCATTAAACATAGACTTTTAGTCTTTGAAAGGAAAATTCTAAGAAAGATCTTCAGGCCATTAAGAAACTCTTATGGCTCCTGGAGAATTAAAACAAATGACAAACTAGATAATCTAATAAAAGCAAGGAACACAGTTAAGTTCATCAAAGCCCAAAGAATAAGTTGGCTTGGATACATGTCAAGGATGGAGGCTGGACGAACAGTTAAAAGAATGACTGGCAGCCACATGCTGTAAGAAAGAGAGGCGAACCTAAGATTAGATGGAAAGATGACGTAAGGGAAGATCTAAAGGACTTAGCAATTTATAACTGGACAACTTGCACACAGGACAGAGGTAGTTGGAAGGAAATTGTTGAGCAGGCCAAAGCGTTTAAGAAATGAAGCTGTCGAGCTTTATGAAGAATACTGAAATGCTGAGTTGTGGTTGCATCATTCTATTCTAATAGGAATTTAGAGAAGCTCACTTGACTATATTAGCAACAGATCTAGCATTCTCCCTGCAACTTCCAAAACTCTACACCAGCACAGAACTTTCTTTCCATGTACTGCAGATAAATTTAATTTGCCTCAACCTGTGTGCATATACATGGTGTGTCCAGGATCTGTTAGGACTTCTTTTTTTTTTATTTTGCCCTGCAATGTCATCTGTTGGCATTAAGATTCTTGGAGTGTCAGCTGTGGCTGTCTATAATTTCAAAGTGCAACCATAGCTGCATCATGTGTTCTGACCTTGAATGTAACAGTACTGTTCTGACGCTCGTCAGAAAATGATGGTTGAACAGACAGCCAACATCAAATTTTTTTGAAGGCAAACCAGCCAGAGAAGCGTACAAAATGATGAAAAGTATGTATGGTAGTGATTCTTTGAGTCGCTCGAATACTTTTCGGTGGTATGCTGTATTTTGTGAAGGCAGGGAGGACAATGAAGATGCTCCACGTAAATCAAAGCCGAGAACAAGTCGCACTGAAGAAAATGTGAAAAAAAGTGACCAAAATCCTTGCATCAGACAGATGTGTTTCTGCAAGACTCATTGAGGAGCTTTTGGGAATACCAAAAAGTACTGTGCATCAAATTTTGACCTAGGATTTGGGCAAACAGAAAGTCTGCGCACAGTTTGTACCGGACATGCTGTCAGGCGATGAAAAACATGCCAGAGTGGAACACTGCAAAGACGTGTTACGATGAGCCCAAAGAGATACACAAAATTGATTGTTACTGGTGACAAGACATGGTGTTCTCAACATGAGCCTCTCACAAAGAGGTAGAGTGCAGCGTGGTTGAGCCCAAAGAAGCTGAAAGCAAAGAAAGTGCACGTGCAAAAGAGTCAAGTAAAGACACTGCTAACTGTTTTCTTCAATTCCAAAGGAATCACTCATAAGGAATTTCTGCCAGAAGGTCAAACAGTGAATTCTGATTATTATCTCAGAGTCCTTAATCGTTTGCGGGAGAGAATTCTTCAAATTTGACCTGAATATAGAGAGCAAGGTTCCTGGTTTCTCCTCCACGACAATGCCCCACACCACAAATTGCGATTTTTTGGCCAGAAAAGGGACCACAGTCCTGGATCATCCTCCATATTCGCCAGATTTGGCTCCAGCAGATTTCTGTTGTTCCCAAAAGTTAAGTTAGCGATGAAAGGAGACCGTCACGACACCATCCCGGACATTCAAAGGGAACCTACCATACTTCTAAATGTGATTCCACAAAAGGAGTACGGTGACTGTTTTTGAAAACTTTTCAATCGATTCCAGCTATGTATTGATTCAGAAGGAGACTAGTTTGAATAAAAAGAGTGAAATTTTGAAAATAATTCACATCTTGTATTTTTAATGAACAGTCCTAACAGAACCTGGACATATTGTGTATATATTTTACAGCTCAAAACTCCAGTTTACAAGGGAGGGGGAACAGAATTTCAATTTACCTTGTCTTTTGAAGTTTCTTTACCAGTTGCCCTATTTGCTTCTGAGGAAGAACTTTCAATGCAGTCAAGGTCTTCAGGGTTTTTATCATTGGTACCTGTCATGACCACCATATGGAGCTCTGACAACTGTGACCTGCTGGGATCATTAAGACAATCAAGATTCCCACCATCTTTATTTTTATCACCTTCTTGGTGACTCTGGAAACCATCATTGCTATGGCCTCCAAATTCTGACCAGCTGTTGTGGCTTTTCTCATCCAGAATAATAACTTTTGCTTCATCTCCAATGCCTTTGTCTAGTGGCCATTCAGCATTTTCTCTGACGTCTGCCTCAAACGTTATTACATCAGTATTTACACTCTTTGTATTGAGTTGAAGTGCTTTACATTGCTGAAGAGTTGCCTGAAATTAAAAGACAAATGAAATCTGTCCAGAGTTTAGCATACTGTTTTGTTTTCTGTAAGACTTCAGTAGATAATACTGTCCATTCTAAGGTATTCTTAGAAAAGAAACAGCTGCCAAAGTGACATGCAATCATTACAAGAATTTCCGGCATTGTTTAAAGCTTGCATCTCAAATAACACTGTTGCTGAAAAAAAGGTAATGCTAAATATGAGTAAAAACGATATGTTTAAACTCATCTTGCACAAATAGACATTTCTAGTCAAAAATAGTTATAATATAAAACCATCGTGTCAGTGAAATATATATATATATATACACAAGTATACACATACAGTGTGTTTCATGACTTTATGTCACAACTTAGGAAGTTGTTCCCGAGGCCATTTTGAGAGAAAAACGTTATATTAACATGGGAACAATTCTCAGTGGTTACAGAGATATGGGTAGGCAAAAATGATGTGTATGCTGAAATGTGCAGGTGTCAGTGTGCAAACACATTGGGCTACAGGTCCATGCAGATCCATACTGTGACATGTTGCGCTAAGGAGAACCACCCCCCACCAGCAGTGACGCGGCGGGTGAGTCAGCGCTCCCCTCCCCCTCCTCCGCACGGTAACGAAGCGCCCCCTCCCGCCCCTCCGCGGTGACATAACGTGCAACACTACGTACCCGTAACCGCTTCCTACTGTGACGTGGCGCGTAACAGGCACCACGGCGGATATATAAGGAACTGCACAGCAGCTAGGAGTCAGTTATAATGTGGACATCGCTGAGTTAAGTAGTCGACGAGCGAGTGTGTTATCAACAGTTCTCCAGTCAGCCGACTATAGTGGAGTATAACAACCGTCGCGGAAAGAAGAACCGGACGTGTGTGTAATTGTGTAATTGGGAGTGTGTGTGATACAGTGATACACAGCTCCCCGACTGTAAACGTGTAGACCACTGAAGACAGAGCGAACTGATTTGCGCATAGGGTTATAAAGTGTGAAACCCCGCAACAGTGTTAACAGATTAATGCGATTATGGTTATAAAGTGTGAAACCCCGCAACTGTGTGATAAGTAATTGTAGCCGTTATTTGTAGATTGTTAAATAAACCAATTAACCATCTCTACGGCGTCTTCAGTAAACGGAAACACGTTACAATACAAAAGCAGAATAGTGGCTAGTAGACTGTACACTACTTACATGTTGTGTAACATTTGCACACCATAAGGAATCTGAATGGAGAACATACTGTTTACATTTGGTTACATTTTGTAGTGAAGAATATGCAGTTATGCACTTTGTGGGTATTGTAATGAAAATGCTCTTGCTGCTTTTGAAAAATATTCAAGATGTTTCCCCAGTGGGCAAGTATTTCGTACTGTCTGTAGAAAACTGCAAGAAAGAGGGATGCTTCCCAGTATGTCCCTGCCAGCTGAATGTGTCAAAGCAAAACATGGATGACCATAAGATGAACATAGTGCATACGTATCAGTATCTGACACTCTGTACCAAAACTGATGGCACACATTTTGAATTCTTATTACAGCAATGACAGTCCAGGGTATGTACAATCACGTAAGATGAAGTTGTCTCCATGCTTAACTAATAAAGCACTATACCATGAAGGCGTGTGGGAGAGTGGATGTATAGATCCACATTTTCTTGACCTTAGCACTAGTTGGAGGTGAACGGTCAGCTTCACGCCCTGGCCGCTTTACCCCACAGTACCTATTGGACAGGATGTTGGGTGGAACCCAGAGTTGGTTTGGACAACATGGAGAAGAGAAAATTCTTGACCCTACCAGACTTGAACTCTGACACCTCAACTGTCCAGACCATAGCCAGTCACTATACAGACTACTCTACTCCAGCTCCGGATGTACACTCATGTATAAGAATTAAGTATCATTTTTTGTTACAATAAAGTGTTCACTGAATTCAAAGCATCTTAACTTTCCCTAATGACAGCTTTGTAACAACTGAGAAATGTACCCCCACCTCCCACTCAGAATGACCTCCTGAGGTTATAAGATAAGTTGTGAATAACTTGTAAAAATAGGTACATGAAGCAGAGGCCTTCTTGAGAAGATAAAAGACACCTTGCTATTCGAGAAATTCCCAGCTTTTATAGAAACCATAAAGGTTCATTAGTGTTCACAAGAACATGCAATGTGCCCCTACACTAAGCTACCTGAATCCAATCTGCACCGTCATCCAATTCTTTTCAGATCCTTTCAATATCACACTTCCATCCATTCACAGGTCTTCTTAGTGGCTCTTTTCTTCAAGTCATCCTACCAAAAATTTGCAAACACTTCCCTAATTTCCAATACATCCTAAATGCTCAGCCAATCTAATATGCCTTCACTGATTCTAACAGTATTTGGCGAGGAGCACAAATTATAAAGCTCCACATTATGCAATTTTCTCCAGCAACCTCTCACTTCATCCATCTGAGGCACAAAGATTTCTCCTTAGCATTGTTCTCAAACACTTTCGGTCTATATTTTCCCTTCATTTGAACAAAGAAGTTTCAGATCCATCAAGCTATAGACAAAATTACAGTTTTGTGTTAAAATATAGAGAACTATAATTTTGCTTGTAGCTGCCTTTACATTTTTACATAGCTGACAAAACTTCCGAATTGAATTGTAACAACAATTCCCCAAACGTAATCTGAATTTAATTTCCTCAAATTAGGAGGGCAAATTATTCAAACTGTGAAACATGCAGATGACCTTGTGTTAATGGCTAAGGAAGAAACTGTGCTACAGGGTATGATTGCTATACTAATCGAAATTGGAAGGTGCTATGGCATGGAAATGAATGTGGAAAAAACAAAAGTAATGAAAATTTTGAGACAACCAACCCCAGTCACAATAAAGATAGACCAAAAACAACTGGAGAATGTGAAATGTTTTAAATATTTGGGTAGCTTGTTAACAGATGATGGAAGGCGTACTTGTGAAATTAAATCTAGGATTGCCACGGCAAAAGCTGCATTTAGCAAGAAGAATCTTTTTACCAGCAAATTGGACTTAAATTTGAGAAAGAAACTAGTGAAATGCTACGTTTGGAGCATCACTTTGTATGGGGCTGAAACTTGGACACTTAGGGCAGTAGATCAGAAACACCTGGAAAGCTTCAAAATGTGGTGTTGGAGAAGGATGGAGACGATCAGTTGGACTGATTATGTGAGAAATGAAGAAGTGTTAATTAGAGTCGGTGAGCAGAGGAATATCCTACACGAAATAAGAAAATGGAAGGCTAATTGGATTGGTCATGTTTTATGCAGAAACTGCCTTCTAAAAGAAGTTATTGAAGGAAAGATAGAGGGGTGGATAGAAGTGACAAGAAGACGAGGAAGAAGACGTAAGAAAATGCTGGATGACCTTGGGGACAGAAGAGCATATTCTCATTTGAAGGAGAAAGCTCTAGATCGCATTAAGTGGAGGAACTGTTTTGGAAGAGACTGTGGACCTGTCGTCTGACAGATTACTGATGAATGAATGAAGAATACAACTTTGATATATTAGTGTCACTTCAAAATATCTGAACACTGTCATATTTTAAAGGCTCTATTAGCTATCCTCATCCTATGAGTTTGTCCTGGTGATGAGATATCAACATATATTATGTTTTCTCTGGATTTACTTCTAGATCAACCTCTTTACAAGCACCTGTTACAGTATTTATGTTTCCCACAATAAATTACCACAATCAGCAAAGACTAGAAGGAAACAGATCTCATTCAGTTCCAATTCCTCCTAACATTTTCATGTGACACTTAAGAAAGTGATAGAATTAGTGCTCTAGTTCCTCATAAAAGCTGTTCTTTGTATATCATGTTTATTCTCAGCTGGGACATGCACAAGAACAATACCACACCAATGACCTCTTTGTATTGTATACAACATTCTGTCACTCACAAACTCTGTCCTCTCTACAGGTGATAATCATCCTCTTTCATACAAAAAAATTTTATCCCTAAGTAACAACTAACAATACCATTTATGCAGAAAAATGCATAATCTTCTGGTCACTGAATGCCAATCTTGTCCCATAAAAACTACTGTACTGTATCTCCACTAAATCTAATATACACTTCACTAATTCTATTGGTACTTTTTTTCAGTGAATCTAACTTCACACATTCCAAGTCTCAAATCTTGTGTCCATTTATATTGTTGAGGTCATTCCACAAAATTCATCAAAGTCCAAGGACCTATGTAACATTTCATAACATGCTCATTTATTATGGTGAGAAGTTATTACCACCCTACCAATAGTATAAGTGGATAACCACCCCATGTCAGCTATCTGCAGCTACTTATCAAATATATTTGTAATCTTAAAATGTAACATGCCAGAGTGAAAATGGACTGCTTTCAGTCTGACCACTGTCAGAGAAATGTATTGATTGATTGATTGATTGATTGACTGATTGATTTAACATCCATAACTGTTACATTATGTACAATTGGACAAGTCAGTTTTTAAAAAAATATATTAGATTAAACATCACATCAAATGACTACTAATATAAAGAAACCATAGAAAAATAACATAATAAGTCCTTTGAATATGGTAAAACAGTGGATGAGTATAATAAGGCAACAAAAGCTAAACTATAAATTACATGCAATAGCTAAAATAAATTACCTAAGTATCTTTGTTCTATTATTAAGCTAATTCTTGTAAATATATTCTTGAAGGGAATAAAAAGCTTTGCACAACAAGTAATCCTTTGATTGATGCTTAAAAACCTTGAACTCTTGAATACTTCTTATTTGAGAGGGCAAGTTATTATACAATCTTATTCCCATGTTAATCACACTCCTTTTACAACGTGAGGTGTTACATGGTTGGACATACAAATTCTGCTTATGTACTGTGTTATAACCGTGCACATCTGAATACGAGATGTTATATATCCTATTTTTCCTTAAAAAACACAACGTCTCAAAGATATACAATGAAGTTAAGGTTAAAATTTTAAATTCACCAAAAAATTCTCTACACGATATCCTGTTATTGACTCTTTTGATCAGTCTTAAACATTTTTTTTGGATTTTAAATACAGTTTGAATGTCCTTTTGACCACAGCCCCAAAAAATAATACCATATCTCAATAAAGATTCAAATTTCGCAAAATACACACTTCTCAAAATTGGAAGACTGACCAAATCTCGTAAGGATTTGATAAGATAGATGGTTTTGTTTAATTTTTGAACTAAATGGTGAATGTGAGAGGACCAACTTAAATTCTCTGTAATATATATACCTAAAAATTTTAAATTAGCTGTGTATGTTATTTTCTTATTATTCAAATAAAGTTCCGGTTTATCAATTTGACGGGGACCACGTCCCTGAAAAAAGAGTGCTTTTGTCTTTTCAATATTAATAATAAGATGATTTACCGCGAACCAATTTTCTAATTGATGCATAGAAACTATAGTTTTATCATTTAAAGATTTAAGATTTTTGTCAATAATTAGTATATTGGTGTCATCTGCAAATAAAACAACTTTCGCTTCATGAACAGCTTTAGGCAAATCGTTTATAAACATTAAAAACAAAAGAGGTCCCAGAACCGAACCCTGAGGAACACCGTACTTTATTTCCTTACACGAAGAGGAGAATGATTTTTGATTTGGAGACTTGGCATCAACATGGTCAATTTCTACAAACTGGGATCTACCCGTAAGATATGATCTCATCAAAGAGAGTGAAATTCCTCTAAACCCATAAAGTTCCAATTTAGCCAACAGTAATTTGTGGTTTATCACATCGAAAGCCTTGGAAAGATCCAAAAAAATACCCAAAGCAAAAAACTTATTGTCTAATGCTTTCTGAACATCCTCAATAAATGATTGCAGTGCTGTATGAGTTGATTTATTTTGTCTAAAGCCATTTTGGGCATCAGATATCAAATTATGTTTATTTAAGAAATTCACTACTCTGTTATATATTAATGTTTCAAAGATTTTAGAAAAAACAGGTAATAGTGAAATAGGTCTATAATTAGATAATTCTTGAATTCGTCCTCTCTTATGAATAGGGCGAACTTTGGCAATCTTCATCTGATCAGGAAAAATTCCAGTACAAAGAGACAAATTAAAAATAAATGTTAAAGGTTTACAAATAGGTTGAATACTAAATTTTACTAACTTTTCTGGGATTTCGTCATAGCCCGCGGAGAGTTTACCTTTTAGTTTACTAGTCACACTAAGTACCTCATTTTCTGTAATTGGTACGAAAAAAATCGATTTAGAAAATGGAGTAACTTTACATGCTTGGTCATACTTAGGTTTTTGATCATTTAATTGGTTTACCATTTTTCCTGCAATTTCAACAAAAAAAGAATTAAAATGACCGGGAGTGAGGAGGGGGTCTAAGTCAATCATGGAGTCCACATCCGAGGTTTTATAATTTATTTTAAAAGCTTTCCCTGATTCAAAGTTTATAATTTGCCATAATGCTTTAGAGCGGTTTGTTCATTTTTGGATGAATTTGTCGTTTTCTTTTTTACGAGCATCTGCTAACACGTTCTTATAAATTTTTTGATACTTTTTTATATAGTTCAAAGAATGCCTAGGAAGAATCAACTTTTTCTTTAAGTAACATAGAAATTGAAGCCGCTGTCTAGAAACTTTTACCCCTTTAGTAATCCATCTGGATTTGATGTTTTTTACATTTACAACTTTTTTTATATGAAACATGTTCAGGAAAAGGTCCCGATACTTGTCTAAAAAAGACTATAAGCTTTGTTTACATCAGTTTGGTGATAAACCTCATCCCAGACTTCCCTTGTTAACCTCGAGTTAACATGAGAAAATTTTGTTTTAACATATGTAGTACAGAGGCTGGCATTTGCTGCTGTGTAATCCTGTAAAAACACTGTTTAAGCAAATGGGGCATATGCAAATGGTCACCACAGTGCAATGAAATACCATTTATGATTTCAAAGCAACCACAATGTAAATTTGCTATTACAGTAATAAGCTCACCTTCAAACATTCCATAAACGAAATTAATCTTGATAAGAATTCCTCCTCTTTATGTGTTTCCAATGTTCCACTGAGATCTGAATGAGAAAATGAATAGAACTGCAGTATCCCAGCTTCTTTCAACTAGAAATAAAAGGGTATACCATACTGCAGATAGAAGTGGCAAATATATATTTTACTGCACATCAGGAATAGGTTATCAGGACGTAACAAAGACAAGCAAAACAAGTTGACAGAGTACAAAATCAGTTTTCTCATGATTAATACGAAAATGTCACATGCAAAAAAAAAATTACTGATTACTACATAATCTTTTTTTCTTTTGCTTCCCATGAATAAACTCTGAACCTAAACCCCAATATTTTCTCTGTTGTGCTCTTAGTTTAACTCAATGCCCTGACGCATGCACGCACGCACATACACAATAGCTGAAGAATGTTTCCATACTTGTCAATACTCAAATTCATCCATAGCCTTCCCCTCCCCACCATTTCTTCTGCTGTAAAACTTATCTCCTTTGTTCCTGCTTCCTGCATAACCAGATCTCTTTACAAATGGCACCTGCGGCCCTTTATATGGAATACTGTCATGCTTGCATAGTACCAACAGTTTCCCACATGCTGTCACTGCAACAGTTCAATTGGTGGTCCTCTTAGTTTTACCATTGGCAGAACTTTTAAACTGTCACTATGCAACAGTGACCTAAGTTTATTCTTTATAAGATTCATCTCATTATAGTCTCTCTCACAGGATGCTGCAGAATATAGAATGACAGCCACTAACGATATCGTCTTGCTGAGAAGAGGAGAGCTCTTTTTCTTGTACTGAAACAGATTTCAGTAAGTTGACAAGTTTCTTTCGGTCACATAACAGATTTGAAATGTGGTAATAAAAGTGGGAAGTATGGTTATTTTAAACAAATTAAAACTTCTCATTTCATACCAGCAGGCTATGAGGCCGTATCAATATCAGACTAGGGTGCAGTTACCTTAAAGGTGATGTATGAAAATCCCTCTTCTCACACTTTATTCCTGATTTAATGAGCCTCCTTCTGCCTGTCTAAGTTTTGCTTTTGCCTGTGTTATTTCAGTCAGCTGAAATTTTTGGATTTCTTCCACTGAAATACTACAAAAAAATCTACATTGGTCTGACATTGTCTTCTAGCTTCACTAAAGTGCAATTTCAACATGTTCTTTTACATGGTTCAACATTGGACCTTCTCTTTGCAAAATTAAGGACTGCTTTTTAGAGATGGGAATAAAGTCCATCAAGAATTTGTTAAAATGATGCTAGAACAATAACACAAAAATTCAAAATAACATTCAAGAATTGAAGGGAGAAATTTAGGTAAAACAACTGTTGGAAATTTTTACTTGCCAAAAGCGAAAATCTACTCACTTCAGGTGAACAAGCAAATGAGCAACTATACAAAGGCTGTTGCTAAGTAATGACTCCAGAAAACAACTGTACGGCAACAGAGGAACAGTGTCTTCTGTGTGGTCAGCATTGGTCGGTCAGTCAGGTGGTAGGGGATTGGCACAGTTCAGTCATTGTAAGCTGTTGCTGTGGGGCCGCGCCATAGCTCAAGCGGTTAGTCGCTGGCTTCCCACCGCGGCGGCCAGGGTTTGATCCTAGGTCTAGTCAAGTGGGATTTGTGGTGGACAAAGTTGCACTGGGGCAGGTTTTCTCCAAGTACTTTGGTTTCCCCTGCCAATTTTCATTCCACCAATTGCTCCACAATCACCCTCACCTATTATCATCTGGGGCTGATACAAAAGGCCAGAAGTGGCCGCAGTGCAAGGGACTTAGTCCCACCCCACTAGCAATAAAAAAAAAAGCTGTTGCTGTCAGAAGCTGGTGGCTGAGGTCTGGGGCAGTTCAGGAACCGTGAGGAAGGGGAATGTCCACCGCTGGAAGCCGCTACTAAGCAATGGCAGTGAAGATGCGACAATATATATATATATATATATATATATAAATGCCTAGAACACTCTTTAACATATTATCTTTGTTGCAACATGCTTCAATGACTGCTCAATGTTATCAAAAGGTGACTAACTGCACCATTTAATTAATGGTTTGTCTGTCCTACTGCCAATCTTCTGATAAAACTTCTTAAGGCATAATTAGCAAAGCTTCTCATTGTTGTTCAGTTTGCTCATGTAATTTATATACATCTACAATTAAATACCTGTACTGATGATATTTAATCTGTTCTTAATTGCTGATGGCTACTTGCTTCATCTTTTATTTAACAATATGTACAGCCAGTCTTTGTTTCATGTCTTGCTAACAACCCTATAATTTACACCCACTATACTTCCTGTCATGTAGCATATTCTATTCTGGCAGCTTGTGGTATTGGTGTGTTACTGTTCAATTGTGTTGTCAGTGCTATCATGGAGCTTCTTAATGCAATAACTTAACATCCTGACTCTTGTCATTACTCTATGATATATAGAGTTGCCAACATAGATTATAACACTGATCACACAAAATACTGATATTTTGGTTTGTGTGTATATCTTAATGCAATAACTTACCATCCTGACTCTTGTCATTACTCTATGATATATAGAGTTGCCAACATAGATTATAACACTGATCACACAAAATACTGATATTTTGGTTTGTGTGTATATCCATGAGCGAGTATTCTGTACACTCTATATTTATCGTTTCATATTATCATTAAATTCACATACTTGTGTCACTGCATGCAGATGACACCAATGCAGGCATATAATGAAGTCTAGTCATGGTCAGCTGCATCTCTTTTATCACATCTTATGTAAATTCATAAGTTTTACTTATGTTATTTCATAACACATGCAGTAACTAAGATTATACATAGCTGCATGATAGGATAACCAGTGAATTGTGAAGTACATGTAAGAAAGCAGTCACAGCCTAATTTGACATATCCTGGAATTTCCCCATAGTGTCTGTAGAACACCACCAGAAGTCTCAATCAAGACAGCGGGTCTTGCATACCAGATCCTAAGCCAGGACCTCCAGAATATTATACAGCAATGATCACTTGATCAGTGTTCAGGGTTTATTCATTGCAAAAAAAAAAAAATGTAATTTACAACATGTGATCCATAAAATAATAAAGTTAGCCGCTACATAACTTCAGAAGTCCATATGTCGTAGTAATATAAACTAGTGAACAACAATTCAAACGAACCTAACCTAAAACTCTATAAGGCTTTATAACATGAGAGAAACAGAATGTACGCGAACTTTTACGCACACACATCTGAAACTACATAAATATTCCATACCTCAAATACAGATTACGATATACCAATCAACCATTGCAGCACTTTTTGGGGCAGTTCTGCTGCTTCCTAGTTAGGTTTAAAGTTAAGTTAGTTCTACAGTCGCAACTCGTACAAATTAAAAAAAAAAGGACTGACTTTAACCGGCTGCCATAGCACCTTTTTGTTTATAAAACTACACACAAAATGCAACATATCACTACTTACAAATGCAAGTAATCTAGGAAAGAAATTCAGCAATTCCTGTGCCATTTCTCTCCACGCAATTACCATGGTAAGGTTATCTACGCACTGTCAACCGGGAAAAACAAGACCCCAAGACCGTTATACTGCGTAGTTTCTGAAAATGTGTGTACGCCGTTGAGGTATGTTGTGCAACTAATTAGATTAATTAGTAAGTAAGGACGTTGATTTGATGTTGTGAAACGAGAGTCGACATTTACGCATGAATTTACATCTATGTGTTACTTATGTATATGGATCATATGGATTATGCGTACTACGCCCAGTGAAATTAGAAACAAACACGAGTCAGTGTTGCTACGATACTTCATCCAAATCGTATTTCTGTATTTTAAGCATCTTTCGGTGTAGCCTAAAGAAGGACCGTAGAATCTCAAGAAAGTGAGAGTGTACTTTGATGACTTTGATTCTGTTATAATTTTTGTATTGTTTCTTGCAGTATAGATGGGAAGAAAAAAAAATTGTTCTGTGCGGAAGCATGCTTGTATTCCAGTGAAGAAACTGGATTGAAATTCTTCAATTTTCCCAGAGATTCAGCACGGTATGAGCCAGATCTGAAATATTATTATAAAACATACTGTAATATTTTGGCGAGTGTTATTAAAGAAGCTAAAAATCTTCATTATAATCAATTAATTTCTAATTCTAGTAACAAAATGAAAGTCACCTGGAGCATTATAAAATCAGAAACGGGTAGAGAAATTAGTAATGCAGGTCAGTTTTTAAACATTGATGGGAAGTTAACTGATAATCATGATGTGATTACAGATTCTTTTAATAATTAATTTCAAACAGTAGCTGGACAACATCAATACCAATAATGTTCATCAGCATTTTCTGTGATTTGAAGAAAACTTTTGACATTGACAATATCTGTCTATCTCTCTATCTGCCTCTCTCTGTCTAAAGTAGAATTTTATGGAATAGTTGGTAAGGCCAAAGTTTTGTGCAGCAGACATTTCTCTGAAAGTGATTTCACAACAGCTGAAAGGGTACACCTTAACAGATGTGAAGTTCCATATGGCACAGATTCTGCTGCACAGTCACTCCCACAGCCTCCTGATCATTCATTACACACCTCTTCCTTTGATCCCTTGCCTTCAGGTTTAACTCCTGAACGTGAGCTTAATGTCCTACCGCCCACCAGAACCTACAGCAAGACAGTTGTGCCCTCTGCTGTAGCACCTGTTCCTCTCCATGCAGACAGTCCTTCCATTTCCTTTCAAATGTCTGCAATCCAATCATCACCAACAGCAGGCAACACTTCTTCAGTGAAAGGAGCCTCCTATCTCTTAGGCTCTGAAAATGTATATGCTTCTGATGGGGCACTCGGGCATGTCAGTTGTCAAAGTTCCTCCTCAAAGCCCAGAGCAAGGCGTTCTCTGCTAAAAGAACTTAATTTGGCTTCGCTTTCTGAATTGACACCGAGGAAAAGGAAATTATATGCACAAATTCGGAATAAGGAGAGTGCACTCTGCAAACTGAAAAAGAAATACAGAGGAAAGAAGTTGGGAAATCTCTGTGATGTGGACAGTGATCACTCATGTAGAGACTTTCATCTTCTCTCAGTGTAGAGGCTGCCAGATTATTGGCAGCAATTATTAGGAACAGCAGGCAGAGACCTCAGGGAAGGAGGTGGGATTTCAAAACGAAAGTGTTGGCTCTGTCTCTCCTTAAGCATAGTCCCAAATCCTATATCCTTCTCCGCACACTACTCCCCCTCCCATCCAGACGATCCTTGCAGTGTGTCCTCAATACTGTTCCATTTAGGACAGGCATCAATGCTCATGTGTTTCATGCACTCGAACAGTCTCTGCAGAAAATGTCTGGTAGAGATCGATATTGTTGTCCCATGTTTGATGAAATGTCAATCAGAGAGAACTTGCATTTCAATCAGAAGTTTGACTGCATTGAGGGTTTTGAGGATTGTGGAAGTCAGGGCAGGACTTTCAGCATTGCAAATCATGCTCTGCTCTTCATGATCCGTGGCCTGCGGAGAAAGCGGAAGCAGCCAGTGCCTTACTACTTTACTCGTGGAAGCTCAAAGGCAGAGATGATTGTGCAATACTTGAAGGAGGTTCTTGACACCTGTCAGAATGCTGGCCTGAAGGTGGTTGCCACTGTATGTGGCACGGGTGCCAACAGTGTCAAGGCCTTGAAACTGTTGGGTGCTTCCAGAAGGAAACCACTCTTCAGATTTCGCAATCAAGAAATTGCAACAGTGAATGATCCACCCCACCTTCTGAAGTGCACCCGGAACCTTTTCCTGAAACATGATGTGCAGTTGAAGTCTGA